TTCTATACTGCTCCACTTCCGCTCTCTCCCCCCTCCCCATGCGCAGTGCGTCTGCAGCCTCTCGGAGTTCCTGCTGCTCTAAACATTAAAATAATTATTTCATTTTCTGTTCCTCACTTCTGATTACCTTCAATGGTGTCTGTTTGTTGCAACAGCAGGTACAAAAACTAACTTGTTTTTCTTTGACTATTTTTCTGTCCTGTCTGTTTATTATCTTCCTGCATCTCCTCTCAATCCTAAAGAAAAACTGCTACCTGGGTTCATATATATTCACCTCATGAGTTACCTTTGAACTGCAGTTCTAAAAGATCTACCGACCGCAAAAATAGCGGAGTGCTCGCTGCTCGCCGGCCGCATCAGTGATCGGTGCGTCACCAGAGGACAAAGCAGGTGATGCGCTTTGCTCCACAGCAGCGAAACGCATCAGGCACAAATAAAAGAATAAAAGACAGAAAACATAAAAGTAAATGAGCCGACATAAACGATCGCGTGTTAAATTTGTTTTTGAGGTGGTGACACCTGATTTGATAATGCTACTGTGGCCGTGCACAGGACGCAGATGTCTGGAGCGCGTCAACAATCAGAGTTTTGCATGCGCAAGCTGGTTAAGGTTAGGATGGGGGTGAGGGGAAGGTTAAATTGGGTAGGGGTAAAGGTCACAATTTGGTTAAATGTCCGTTTTACCGCGGGTGTCAGTACCGACGCTCTGGCACAGCGCGTTGCCTCCCGATGCGCAGGAGCTCGTCACCTGCTGTCTTTTCCGAGGACTGCATCTTGTCGCTCATTATCACATGACAGCGACTAGTCGCTGAAAGGCATAAAAAGTCACTACAGAGCAGTGAAGTTGACTAGTTCATACAACCCCTAATGGACACACAGACTTGAATGGCAAGGGGGAGTCAGCGCCCCCGTTGGCGGGGATGGGAGTCTCCCCGTTTGTGAAATAGGTAGGGACAGCATCCTCTGGTGGTGAATAACGAGATTGCCCTTGTTGTCCGACCAAACACAGAAATAATAGTTTTTTGATGATGAATTAATGAATCAGAACAAACACGAAGTGGACAGTTTTAATAAATCAGGCTGGAACTTACCAATATGTAGGAGTTGGTAAATATAGTGCTTTAAGAGCTAAATTTATTACCTCTACTTGTGACCAATAAGCTGTGATAGTCTATATAAATATAGAATATCAACCTGCTTGGTCTTTGGATGTTTAATCAGAAGATTCTAGGGTTCTTTGTTTATTCAGGGATTGGAGAACACTTCGTCTTGATTCAAGAAATGAGTCAGCTTTATAAAAAGTAAGAATTCATTTTCTAAACAATAAAAACATGACAAGTTAACTAACATTTACTGTGATGGATGGATCTAGGTGGATGGAATGTGATGTGTGGTGCCTATGTGTGAATATGATGTTATCAGAACTTTCGTATCTAGAAGAGCTGAGTTCTGGGTGTAAAAGGGAAGAATTTGGTTTGGGTTAAGCTATGAGGTTGATTCTTATCAAAAATGAATCAGACGCAATCTGTCATGTCTACGTACCCCAAGTGGAGACTCTCTTTTGGATCCGAGATGTCAGGGGGTCGGGTGACCCCAAGGTACCGAAGTCCGTAGGAAAACCGCAGTACGACCAGGTCAGTCCAGAGTCGTCTCCAGGTCATGACAGGTTGTAACTAGTTTGCTTCTCAAATGGATTCATCATTGCATCAGCTTTGTTCTGCAGGAACCGTTTGCTGTGTCGGCAGTAGGCAGCTTTTAGCAGTGTTTTGGCAGCTGGCCAAAAATGCTCAGGGTTAAAAAGGTGTCGCTCCGGACGGCTGTTCCGAAGCGCTCTCTAGAACAGAATGCTGAATGATGGGAAGCTGGAATGCGACTCCGACTGCTAAATTACTGTAAGTGATTCTGTTTTAATATTCTCATATTATGATTTACTTGGCCAATCGGAACGTGCCATGTTAAGGGATATTACCAAGAAAACCTCAGACATCACGCCTTCTTGAGATACCGGATGCTCTGATCCGGGGAAAAGAAATATCCATGTGTCATGAGTTTAACTTAACTTTAATTTGTCCTTGTGTCTAAGTGCGCGTGACGATTGCCTTGTCATATCAAACATTACTGATTACTGTGACAGGAGCAGATGTAATAATGAAAGGAGTTGTTTAGGTAGGATAACGGACGGACAAAGGTGTGTTACAGTAAATGTGGTCCCCAGAGTGGTTCTAATGAAGCATCTGAGTAACAGAGTTTTGAGCCTGTCAATCCTAAATAAGAGATATCTGAGGATGTTACAATTAACATATACATAAATCACTCAATATAATAATTCATTTCATTTCAATAATTGAAGCACAGATTAATGAAACATTATTCTCATCCATATAACATTTGTTAATTTCATTTAATGAAAACGTTCACTTTATTGAGAAAGTGGGCACTCCTGCGGTGTTATCAGAGAAGGCTTTATTTGGGAAATGTCAACAAGGTTGCAGTATCCCTCTGGGCTTTTAGGAAGATTGAGTGTAAAATCCACCTTAGAGGATGGGACGCATGTCGGCAGATGACCAGTGGCATGTAGGTCAATATGTAGGTGAAAATTGACCATTTCTGGACATGACATAAATTATTCTCATATTATGATTGTATGACCAACCAGGACTTGACATGTGAGGTGTTAACAAACAGTCCTCAGAACATCACGCCTTCTCAGATACAGGATGCTCTGATTTGTGGGTAAGAAAATATCTATGACCTATGAGACATTAAAGGAAATATTAAGATTACAAAAGATGATTCAAAAAGTGAATCATGAGATCTGGAAGACAGAATAAACAGAAATTCCAGCAAAGAATGTTGTGAGGAAAATCAGAAGGTCCCACCAAAGCCTGAACAGGTGAGTTTAAAGGAGACCACTGAGTCCACTGATCTCAGGCTCAGGGGGAGAGAGGTCCAGAGTCTGGGGGCCACAGCAGCAAATGATCTATCACCTTTGGTCTTTAGCCTGGTGCTACACAACCAGTAGGCTTTGATCACTGGACCTCAGGGACCTGCTGGGGGTGTAGGGACTAAGAAGATCACCAATGTAAGATGGTGCTTGTCCATGTAAGGCCCTATAGACCAGAACCAGGATCTTGAAATGAACCCTGAAGATGACTGGTAGCCAGTGAAGATGGAGGAGAAGCGGGGTGATGTGGGTGTGTTTGGAGGACTTGGTCAGAAGCCGAGCACAGGCATTCTGAACCACCTGTAGATGGTTCAGGGAGGCTCTGCTCAGACACGTGAAAAGAGAGTTACAGTAGTCTAAGTGTGAGGAGATGAAGGTGTGGAGAACTGTCTCAAGTTCAGAGCGGGACAGAATGGGACTCGGGTTACTGATGTTAGTGAAGCAAACAGCTGTTTTGTTTTGTACGAGGCTTTGGAGTCGCCCAGTTTGCTGCCTCATCCACCACCAGTAACCAGGTCATTAACTGAGCTAACGACTGCAGTGCCTACCTCACGATGATCTGTTTCTGATCAACACACAACCCTGTCAGTGTATACTCTGTGTCTGAGGCATGAAGGAGCCGTTGCAGATTCCTTCTAATGTCCAAACCAGCTGCTCACAACGCAAAGTGTTACGGGAGAGATGGAGGGACAACACATGAACGTCATGCTGTGGTTCTGATCAGGACAAGGTGGATGGAAGAATGAAGAAGGTCCAGATCAAGGATGATGGCTGAAGATAGCTGAAGCTTTGACCCGGTTTTTCACACCAGCATGCCGTGCACCACCCTCACACCCTGGAGGAGGGCTGGATCACACGTTTGTGTCGATGTCGTCGGTCTCCGGGCCAGCCAGCCTGCAGACAGACAGGAAGCTTCTGAAGCATGGAGGAGATGATGAAGCACGGCGCAGCGGGTGGATGCAAGGTCAGTGGGACAGCTGTGATGATGGGCCCTACAGGCATGCTGGGATCTGAGGAGGCTGACAGCCGATTGAACCTGGCTCAACAAACTGTCTGCGGAGGCACAATGCACTGATGCTTTAATCTTAAAACATACTCTAAACAATGCCAACCATGTTTCTGCTGGGAGCAAAACAGTTGGCCTGAATCACTATTGTGTTCACAATCAGCCAGTTAGCGACAAACATGATTCTACACAGCAGAGAGGCTTTTCACTGATTCATGACGCTTTCTGCACTGACAGGATGTAAACCGTGTGCTTGTGGAGACGATCTCATGGCTGGCAGATGCTCTTTTCTTTCAACCACAAGTAATCAGACTCATTTGTGTACCTGCTCCTGCATTTGTTTTCCTGTGGGTGAACGAAATCAGCCTCCAGCATCTTTCATTTCCTATCAGGACCAGCTTTTTTATGTTTACACCAGAATCCTTTCAGTTTCACCCTATTTATGAGGCTCTTGTGAGAATTCTTAGTTTGTTTTCTAACACAGTCGTTCAGAAATGAGTCGATCACCACCCGAGCTTCAATTCCAACAATAGCTCAACTTCATTTATTATTTATAGAGTTAGATCGCTCATGTCTGAAAGCAACCTGGTTACATTTAAGATGTCAATACACTTCTGTTTTCTTTGTGATTGTATTACCCAGTGAGTGGATGGATGTGTCCAACCTGTGTGGAATAACTCTGGGTAATTGGAATAAGGCTCTAATCAAAATTTCAATTAGAATGCTGCTGGAGTTATCTCAGCTGTTAAACTCGAATTAATGTATTACTCTTTCTTTGGCTTCCAGTGTGGGAAACATTCTCAGTTTGGATGGATTATTGAAACCCACACAAAACTGGGCAGAGTTGAGTTTGTATTTTTCCTGCTTTTTGCATAAAATCCATAACAAAATAAACTATTCTCCATCTCATCTGTTTAATTACATTCACAAGCCATTAGCTGCTGCTTGCTTCCTTAGTTTAATTAATGAAGTTCGCCATTCTCGGGGGGCTGAATGATTCCATCACTGTAATGGAGCAGCGCCACCGCTAGAGGGCAGCAGAGCCTGGTTAGTCTTCTGAGTAAAAATACACAAAGAGCGAGAGAGCACAGAGCTAGAAAGTATAGACCAGCTTTTCAGCGACGAATCCCTATCAACATATTTTGTGGCTCTCGTTCTTTAATTCCATAAGGTGTGATTTTCTTGCACATCCTAATTATTTATTTGTTTGTGTTTAACTGCGTGATGTGACCCTTTATTTGCTTACTCAGGCGGAACCACGACCCAACAGCTTCGCTATCTGTTAGAGCTCTATCGCGTTGTTGTTGTATTGTTTTGATTGGGAAATAAATGAGCAGGAACAGCCACGGGTCGCGATAAACAAGGTCAGTATCTGCATTTAATGCGTTAAAATACATAAGTGAGTGTTTCTTTCTGTATTAAAGCTGCACCTTTATGTCTGCACCTTCAAGACTAGACCTGGTGGAGCTAACGCTAATGCTAGCTGGTCTGGCTAGGAGCACTACTAGCTTAACGGTTTTACGTTTACTTTACGAGATTATAGCTTCAGTTGAATATAATTTAATGTGTTTGATATTTGATTAAAGTGAAACAAACAAGGAAATAGCCCATTTTGACAATTTGTTGCGTTAGTTAGCCGTAGCGTTAAGTGCTACATGACGCTAACTGTTAGCAGTCCTTGTATTTGTTTCTATTTGTGTTTAAATGACAACAGTGTTTAGTAGCATTACTGCCCACTTTACATACCTAAGTGTGATTCCGATCACATCGGTCACTAACATTAATGCAAGCCTTAATTTAATAAATTTGTTACAGGCGAAACAATAAACAAAAAATGTTTAAATATCTCATTTTTCCCATAATAGTTCGTTTTGTCTGTACTGTGCTTTTTAACAACGTTAAAATGATAGGATTTTGTTTAAAGTGTGTACATCGGATCTATTTTTTAAATGATTGTGTTATTTTTATTCAACTTTTTGAGGAAAATGTGATTTTAAAATGTTACCTGGGTTTTTCAGAGTTAAATTGTGAGGAAAGTTTTCTGGTTTTTCACTGATGCCGCAGATGCTCTTATATCATTATGGTTATCTACACAAAGTATTATTGCCTACAAACACCCCGTGTTGTATGCAGAACCACATTAGCACACATTTGCATCTTAAATTGCAGTGCATCCTCGTAAACGACACTTGTACTCACAAGAGTCTTTCCTGGTTAAATAAAACAACTTTATCGGGTTTCCTCAGATCTCAGGGCTGGAAGATGTGTTCTTGTGGCCAGCTCAACTAGAAGTGTGCATTTGGAGTATTTGACTCTTCACTGTGTCTAAATGGGAACTGGAGCTTTTTTAGTCCAGATTCGACATCGTTGTGAGCTCAGCTCCATCAGGAGGCGCTGCTGCATAGTTTTAGGGGACGTCTGGAAACCTTCAGGGGTGCATGTCAAGCACCACTGATGGTATTGGTGAAAGAGCTGAATTCTCAGTAGGCAGTGTGTGAGTTTAACAGAAGAGGTCAAAGGCTAGAACACGGTTTTACCTGAGGTGGTCCTGCGTGTAGCGGCTGAGCTAAAGGAGAGTTCAGTGCTGGTAGCTGGTTAGCTCTCTCAGTTGTTTGTCTTTACATCCACATAGTTTCTAGTTGAGAGGAGAACCGTGACATCATTCCTGCTGATAACAAAAGTAAACGACTCAGTGACATTTCTGTTGGGAGCAGTTTGGATGAGGAGCAAATCCTATTTCTGGTGTCAGGTCCTTCAGGTGTCACAAAGGGCTGCTCCATTATGGCAAAAATGATGATCACCATTGTTTTGACTGAAATTTAGATCTCGATTGATACGATTTTTAAATCAATATCAATTTATTTGTTCTTTCATAAAACAGCACAGGGCCCAACCAGAGGAAAAAATAAATAAGAAAAAAACAAGATCCTCAAAAAGACCTCCGAGCATAAAAGAGCCAGTACACTTGCTCATAGTTTATGACCCACAGGGTTTAGGCTGGGGTTTAACTCATGGAAGCGTACTAATACAGACCCAACCTGGTAAAAATATCTGACAAATACTGACCGCAAGAGTTGGACAGTGTATTTATATAAATAAAGATCAATAAAAACAACTAAGTACAGCAGCTACGAGTCCCTCGGAGAGATGCATTATTATCTATCAGCATCAGCAACTTATTTCTATCTGTTTAAGACCTATTTATTTACAGCATCAGTTAATGTAATTACCAGTCTTTGTCAGACGACGCGTCGGGTGCTGTAGCGTGTTGCATGATGGGATGGCTGGGTGTATAAAGTGTTATAAACCTGCAGGTCACACGTTTACAAAGAGCAAAAACTTGGTAATGACATGAGATGTAGCGTCTGTGCTGTTATTTACCCTGTTACTGGTTTGACTTTCCATGGCAGGTGTGGCTGTTTGATGCAGGTCTCCCTTTGGACCATGTTTAAATGGTTCAGAATGCAAATTCTGCCTCTTTGGATAGTTGTCATTAAACCTTGTACTGAAGAACTTTTACACAAACAACAGGGAGCCTTAGCCACGCCCTACCAGACCACGGGTCCCCAGAGGAACAAAACAAATGCAAAAATGCCTCTTGTTCTGTTCCATGGATTTCACATATGATTTATGATGAAGACACATCTTGATACCAAGAACGTGCTTATTCTCAAACGGGGGGAACGTTATTTTAGCTTTTGTGTGAAAATAAGTCCAGGACTACAAATGCGCTTCACCACAGTGACGTCATTGAACCAGACACGGGGAAAATGGGGAGAATGGCTGTAAGTTCAGAAAACTTCGAATCTTTTCCTCAGGAGGAAAGAACCGCCATAAGTCTGGTCATGTGGTACGTAGCAGCCGGTAGCGTCACATATGCGACGTGCCGATGTAGTCATGCTAGTTACGAACTTTTACAAGCTAATCAATCTCAAAGTACGTGACTGGCGTGGTCGAAACCGCCATCATTAGTTTTCATTTAGACTGCAGTACAGCATGTGTGTGATCCAGGGCGTACGGCAAAGCAGGTTAGAAAATAACCATTTTAGCTCCGTTGACTTGCGTTCTTTTTTTTTTTTGTTGTTGTTGTTCTTCCGGAGACCCGTGAGCCGACCGGAGAGGGCGGAGACTTGGGCTCCTCTTTTACACTCATGGAGTTAACAGCTCTGATGTTGATCAGCTTTGCTAGTTTCTCTGTAGCTTGGGGCAGATATCGAGGCTCATCAGCTCAGCGACGTTTTTCCAATCTTCTGTGTCCAGTTGTGGTGAGCCTGCTGTCGCCTCAGTTTCCTGTTGTTAGCTGACAGGGTCAGGGTGTCGTGGCCCATCTGTGTTCACAGATGGTCGTCTGCATACCCAGTGGGCTCAGTGCTGTTAATGGTGGCCATCTTAGTTTTAGTCTCAGCCTTGATGACAGAAAAGCATTTAGGCTTCGTCGGTTTTGGTCGACTCATCTTCAGAAATGTTTTGGTCAACACAATTGTTGTTGTTATTGTTACAAAGAAATCAAACAGAATGATTTCATATGTGAGACGTGTTCTCTGAGCTGCTGGAGTCCGTTTCATTCCATCATTTATTTTAGGGCTTTGGGACACATGAGAGAGGAGCTTGTTTTGTTTTTGTATCAGCGCTAGTGTCCCACCAGTCTGTCAGTAATCAGATTACCAGTACCACTGGTCTGCTGGGGTTGGATACAAACCCTCGCTTACTCTCTGTCCTGTCAGATCTCCATTTCCAGAAGTGATGGAGGAGCAGACGGGCTCTCCCGCAGCCACTGCTGACAACGGCAGCCAGAGGAATGGAGAGGAGGTCAGAGGTCGACATTTCCAGTTCAAACTCCAACAAAGCTTCGTCAGCTGCACCGAGGACCTTCCAGTCACACCTCCTGTTGTTTCTCTGCAGAAACCTCGGCGTGGCAGCTGGACCAAAGGGAGGAAGAGGAAGAAGCCCATGAAGGACAGCAACGCACCCAAAGCTCCGCTGACGGGCTACGTCCGCTTTATGAATGACAGACGAGAGCAGCTGAGGGCGGAGCGTCCAGACGTGCCCTTTCCCGAGATTACGAGGATGCTGGGAAACGAGTGGAGCAAGCTGCCCCCAGAGGAGAAGCAGGTCAGACTCAGACAGGATTACACAGCCAGCTCCAGTCTGTGAACCTTAAACCTTCCACGGGCCTCCAGAGCTCTTCGGGTTTCACGCCGGTAGGTGAAACAGCTGAGGAGGGTTAGGTTAGGTTAGCGCCACAGTCACTCTGAAGTCCCTTCTGTTAAAACATCTGGATTCACTAGTAAGCACCCCTTGTAAGTGGGCCACAGCTTCACACACACACACACACACACACACACACACAGCAGCTGAGGGTGAGGTCCTCGTGTCTGATTCAGGCTGGAGCTTCTGACTCTGGTTGACCTTGTTCTAGTCTGATGGAGCTGGGCTCTGGTGGGTCTTCAGATCATTAGAGCTCTTAGAGCTCTCCCTGACGACTGCAGCTGAGCTTCCTCCACCCTCTGCTGCAGCGATACTTGGACGAAGCAGAGCGAGACAAGGAGCGCTACATGCGAGAGCTGGAGAAGTACCAGAAGACGGAGGCCTACAAACATTTCACCAGGAAGGTCCAGGAGAAGCAGAAGGGCAAGAGGCACCGGGGGGGTGAGAACAGGCCAAGTGTTCTGGTGGCGTGTGATGGAGGTAAAAACTCACTTCAGACACACACATCATTAGCTGTTTTCTCCTTCCTCTCCAGATTCTGGACACCAAGCTTCCAGTGAGGCTCTTCATGAGGTCAGTACGGTCTCACAACACCCGGTTCCACTGAGGACCAAATAAATCTAATCCACATAATCTAGACAAGAGCACGTTTGTTTTGGAGTCACTGGTGGAGTGTGTGGTGTAATCATTTACACTGGAGAACAGGTCTGATGGGCCCTCAGAAGGGGCAAATCAGTTAATCAGTTTCTGTTTTTTATTGTTATGTTTTTATGACTTTGTTTTATTTTGTTTACATACGGGCTATATAAATAAAATGTACTCAGTTACTACTTACATAAACGAGTGTCTCAGTCCGGCTGCAGCAACCATTTTCACTCAGCAGACCTGTTTTTGTCTGCTGGTTAATGACAGAGCAATGCCGAGGGAAAAGACCGGACCGTGTTTGACATCCCGATCTTCACAGAGGAGTTTCTCAACCACAGCAAAGGTGAAACATCTCAGCCTCTGGTTCTCCACCGCTGTTTACTGGCTGATGTCCCCAAACCTGTTTGTGTGTTTTCCTGCTCAGCTCGAGAAGCTGAGATGCGTCAGCTGCGTAAGACCAACATGGAGTATGAGGAGCGTAACGCAGCGCTGCAGAAGCACGTGGAGAGCATGCGCGGGGCGGTGGAGCGGCTGGAGGGGGACGTGATGCAGGAGAGGGAACGCAACGGGCTCCTCCATCAGCACCTGGAGACGCTGCGCCAAGCGCTCACTTCCAGCTTCTCCTCTGTGCCTCTGCCAGGTGAGAATGGCCACAGCCAGCGCTACCCTTCTGCTTCACGACCGCTAACCGAGCATTTCCACCGGACGCGTAAGCGCTGCGTAACATGGTGCGTAGTGGATGGGTTTGCTTCCACTGGCCACGAAGCGTCCCAGAAGCGTAGGGGTGTGGCGTCTAGTTTTTTACACGCTACGCTCCCAGACAGCGTCAAGCTCAACAGTTCACATCTGGCCAGACAGAAAGTGAAAAGCTATGTAAAACATCCTGACACTTTCAAAATAAGTCATGTTCAGATTTCCAGTTGTTTAACTAGTAAAAAGGTATTTAGTTTCCTGTGAAACCTCCGTAGCCGAGTAAACGGAAGAGAAAATAAACCATAGAGCTTTGTACATACATGCATCCGTCTTTCTTTTTGCTTGTTATCGTGTGAACTGCTATAATCACATGTGGTCCTGCAATTCTTCTATGATTTCCTGACCTTACAGGACCAGCTGGGTGGAATTTTTTGGCTGCTGTTTCCATCTGAAACGCTTCCCATAGAAAGGGAGCTAGAGGGCAGAACATGTCATTATGCACCGCCTATGCATCCAGTGGAAAGTCACTGTAACGGGGTTAATGCATCACACTCGTTAGATCACTCCAGTACGGCTGTGTGACAGTTAGAGGGGAACTCTGAACATCCTGGCCCACAGTGACCTCTTGACTTGGAGTTTGGGAACTGACTATTTCTGGTGTTTGTAGGCAGCGGAGAGACGCCCACACTTGACACCATTGATTCTTACATGAAAAAGCTCCACAGCGTTGTTGTCAGCAGCCCGCAGGAGCACGAGCATCTCATCAGCACCGTGAGAGACGTGGTCAACCGCCTGGACAGGTAGGCGCTCCGTAGAGCCTCACATCTGCTTACTGCTAACCCAGTTTAAACCAGTTCTGATGTCTTTGTGTCTTCTTGTTGTTGGACCAGATAATCAAATGAAGGTCTGACGACGACTCCTCCCATCATGCCTCTCAGCTGAACACCATGAGCTCATTGTGACGACGCGTCTCACTTACCGTTATGTTATGAAACCTGTTTACGCCTGGGTGACATGCCTGTAGACATGTGAAGATGCGTTCTACTCGTTAATTCCTGTTTGGGTCCAACACAACAAGGAGTGTTCTGTTTCTCATAAACAACTTGTGCCATTGTTTGTTTTTTAGTTTGAAACATGTTTGTATTTTTAATAAATGTCTTTTCATTGAGTTCAAAACACCTCATTAGTCCCCGTACTTCCTTCCAATGTTACTGAATCTAGTCCTAGCTGGTTCCAAGTGGTCCTAGTTGATTCCAACTAGTCCTAGCTGGTTATAACTGGTACTAGCTCTAACTGTTCTTTGCTGGTTATAACTGTTCCTAGCTGGTTATAACTGTTCCTAGCTGATTCCAGCTGGTTCTAAATGGTTATAACTGGTCCTAACTGATTATAACCATTGTAATACCAATGCCCTATACACTGGCACTGGTTACTGAGGCGGTTGGTAGTCTTTACGTGCATTTAAAAGAATTGCAGCTTGTGTTTATTTCTGATGATGTTTATTAATTTGTCTTCTTCCAGAAAGTCCAGGATCCATTCACTGCAGTTAAAGTGGTTTTCAATGAATACGTTACTTGCCCCAACGACAGTCCGCAGAGTCCATTACACACAGCCACAGTCCTCGCCACACAGTAAAAAACTGCTTGTCCCGTCACAGCCACCTCGAGTCTAATCTGCATTGGCTTCAGTAGGCTGGTCCTTCCACAATCAATTTACCAATCAAATGAGGCCAAGCCTCCTCTCAGGTATGCAGAAAGAAAATGAAACCAACACATATGACTCCTACACCTGTTCCTAGCTGTTATAACCGGTCCTAGCTGATTATGACTATTCCTAGCTGGTTATAATTGGTCCTAGCTGGTTGTAACTCGCTGGTTATAGCTGGTACTAGCTAGTTCTAACAGGTTCCAAATGGTTATAACTGTTCCCAGCTGGTTATAACTATTCCTAGCTGGTTATAATTGGTCCTAGCTGGTTGTAAGTTGTCCTAGCTGGTTATAACTGTTCCAGTTGGTTATAAGAGGTCCTAGCTTTTTCCAGCTGGCCCTAGCTGGTTATAACTGTTACTTTCTGGTTCTAATAGGTTCCAAATGGTTATAACTGGTCCTAGTTGGTTATCATTGTTCCTAGCTGGTCATAACTAGTAGTAGCTGGTTCTAACAGGTTCCAAATGGTTTTAACTGGTCCTAGCTGGTTGTAACTGTTTCTAGCTGGTTCCAAGTGGTCCTAGTTGATTCCAACTGGTCCTAGCTGGTTCTAACTAGTTCCAATTAGTCCTAGCTGGTTATAACTGGTACTAGCTGGTTATAACTTGTTCCAACTAGTCCTAGCTGGTTCCACTGGTCCTAGCTGGTTCTAACTTGTTCCAGCTAGTCTTAGCTGGTTATAACTGGTTCCAATTGGTCCTAGTTGGTTCCAACTGATCCTAGCTGGTTGTAACTGTTCCTAGCTGGTTATAACTGGTACTAACTGGTTATAACTGGTCCTAGCTGTTTATAACTTCGTAGTTGATTATAACTTGTTCCAAATAGTTCTAGCTGATTATAACTGGTACTAGCTGGTCATAACAGGTTCCAAATGGTTATAACTGGTCTTATTAATCAATCAATCACGTTTTTATAGCGTTTTTCGACACCATAAAAGGTGACCAAAGGCCTTTACATAATAAAATAAAACCGTAGTGTATAAAAATAGAGATTACAATAAAAAGTTTTGCTCTGCTTGTCGGTCTTGCCACACAGGGTCACCATTTGCCCAATCATTATTGTGTTATGCCAAGCACAGTGCTCTATCGGTTTGGTGGGCGGGATGATGCAATGGAGTAGACGGAGCAGAACAACTAAGATGGCAACGCCTCAAAGCTCTGAACAAACTTTAAACCTCACCTGATGTCAAATCAGTGACTGTGTTGAGTCTGAAATCCAGTAGAACCCAGAATATGTTGTTTCCTACTTCAGAACTGGACCTTCTGAAACCAGATGTGGAGAAACCAGGTCTGATGAGCAGGAAACCTGAAAGGTATCATCTTCTCCTGATTAGAGCTGCAGCTTGCACAGGACCAGGAGCTCATATGTTCATCCCTGGAGTAGTGGCAGTAAAACTTTTTCATGTGCTGAAGACTCCCATCTTATTAATGTTGTTTACTTTTAAACTGGGGTCTCATCCTTCACATGCACTCTCCTGGTCTCTGAGCTAATTTGTATAATGAGCTTAACTGGAGCCTGATCTCTTTGATGTGGACTCAAAACTGAAAGTGATGAGGAGGAACAGGTTCAACATCTCTGCACTTTTCTCAATCCTTTCATTCTCTGTTTCATATCCATCTTTTAACAGAACCGGGAGTTTTATTCCTGCAAACACCTCCATGTCTGATGCTCTGCAGCCTCGAAGTGGGGGTGCTATGAGCTGGTTCCAGCAGTTCCTAGACCCAGAGAAGGGATGGGGGTGGGGGGTCTGGACGGTTCCTGATCACTGCTGAGTTTGACCCAGTTGGGTTTTTGTTCTGCTATGGGAGTCCTCCGTCTTTAGTAGAGATACAACAGACTTTAAAGAGCAAGTCACCCCCAAATCAACTTATTTTATCTGATAAATTATATAAAGGAGTGTCTAGACACGTGTAGTCAATAATTTGGCTCTTTAGTGCATCTTAGTTAAAATTTAAATATTCTGCCTAGAATTGTGTAGCGCCGAACAGTTTACTCGCAAACTTCAAAGCGATCCTTTTCAAACTGGCAGAGTCTTGGCTGCGGCATGGCTTCCTCGCTGTGCTCTTCGCTGGACTCACGAGATCACAAGGCCCCTCGAGACTTCGGGTCATGGTTTGTTCAACCGAACAACCAAAAAGAAAGAAATCACGTTATCACTGATGTCATATATGATATTGTTCCTCTCCACTGCCAGGATTAAAGCCATGAAAATCACACCGCTGCACTTCCGACCGGTGCTGTGAGTAAATAAGCCCTTGGGTCACACGTAAACTTCATTTGTATGTGTGGCACGAAACGAGGTCCCGGGCGCGATTCGATCCCCAGACTTCCGGGTGAGAGTCATGCACGCTAACCAGTCAGCCAAAGAGACATCGCCTTGGCCATGTAGCCGGGGTGCATGATCAGTCGGGACACTGAAGGACGCTCATGCTGCCACATCTGAAATTGCGTTGCTGCAGTATTTTATTTTGAAAATTATCGGGGATTTAACACTGAAACTGTGTGTGATTTCCTGTCCAGCTCTATGTTAACTGTGTAAATTGACATGTCTCAGAAGCAGCTCGCGGCAAAAATAGAACCTGATCCTATCTGGCGGCGCAGCATGCCGCTTCTGGGACGGGCCTGGAAATTGCCGCATTGCTGCTGGTTTGAAACGCTCCACAGACCAGTTATACTCAGTAGGTGGTCCGCAAGGCCCCTTCTTTGTGGCCTCAGGTTCACCAGCACCACCCCTCATTGGCTCTAGCATCGGCGGGGTTGAGCTGACGCTAGTGTTTAAGGGTCTGGCCCGCTAGGCCCCTTCGTTGTGGCACCTGGTCCACCAGCCCGCCCCCCCCCCCCCCCCCCAACATCAAAGGTTTGAATTTGGGTACCCCTGCCATAGACCATAATGGATTCTCTTTGAAGCAGTGATGTTCTGCTGCCGTTGATGCTTTCAGTGTGAAACCGGGTTTGTACTCTGGAAGGGGGTGACTGGCTCTTTAACAAACTTCAGTCTGAGCAGTGGGATGGTGTTACCATGGTGACTGATTAGTGCTTTTAAGCATCCTTCATTGTCAGCTGTAGCTGTAAAAAGAATCCTTTAGGATTTTTGTCAGTTGGAACCCCAGCTGGAACGGGTCAGTCCAGCTGGACCCGTCCTGACTGACTCATGCGTTCCTCTGAGTCCGAATCCTGCTCTCCTCTCCGGTCCGGCGGTGACACCAACGCTGATCTGAAAACTTTGGGTGAACAGAGAAAATAATAAAAATGCATTTAAAGCCCTCAAAGTTTTCTGTGTTTTTTGATCTTCCTGTCAGATGTTTCTATGGTTACGGAGGGACCATAATCACAAGTATCCCATGATTTTCAAGGCTTAAACAAACATTTTGATAAAATTGCCCCAAATACTCAGCATCTTTTGGTCCTCTGTAGGTCACCCTGACCCCTGCCATCCAGCTTCTGGTCCAGATCCTGGTTGATGGAGCTCGTTCTCTATCATCAGTGTTTGGAGTTTGAGGTTTTGTTTGTCCCTCTGTCTCTTCAACCAATCAGAAAGGAGGTTCATCACAGGACGATGCTTTAGTTTATGGCTATAGTGGATTTTGTAATGACTGTCAACAACTCACCTGATGCATCTTCTTCCTGATGTTCCTCCATGAACACGAGGCAGCAGCAGGATGGAGCTCTTCTGAACGTGACCAAAGAGGAAACTAAGAGTCATCCTTCCTCCTCCTCCATCTCTCCACTCCCCCACCCTTGGAAAACTCTTGGCGTCTGTGTTTAGGATCTGGGTGAGTGAGGAGAGGGAAACAATGCCTGGAATGTAAAAAAAAAACCGAGTCATTCCCACGTGTCAGCTTGCTGCTCAGCTCCGCCTCCTCTCTGGTCCTTGTGACGGCTGCCCTAACGCTCAGGCTGACGAAGACCATAGCTGTACCCGGGTCTGTAGATGCCTCATCTACAAAAATGGTGTTAGCTTAGCTTGCTGGAGCTAACAAACACCAGGAGAACTGGAGGCTGGGGGGGGGGGGGGGGGGGGACTTAATAACTTTGTCTTGACTCTGTTCAAGCTTCCTCTCTCAGGTCTTTATGGGAGGAACAGATTTCCTTTTCTGGGGGTGATTCCTCCTCAGACTGAACTCTTCTCTCACGCCAGCGTGTTAGCTCCAGATGCTGTCCCACACAAACCCACTGGGAACTAGAGCACGATCATTAGTCACTTGATAATCACAATGCTGCAATACAACACAGGAATGGTTACTGAAAGGAACGGCTTTACACCCATAAAAGACTCGTACATGATGAAAAACTAATCTGAAAACCTGCCAGAATCGACAATCTGGGTCAAAATTTATTACAGAAATAAATCTAAGTGATCTAAAAGATTCTTAATGACCTCATAAAGGTTTGCTACGCTTAAAGTTAAGAGTCAAATGCTCCAAAAAGGCACAAAATGATGAGATACAACCACCACCTAGACAGTTTCACATCTAGATGAGATAAACCGAGGTTTAGATCTTTCTGAGGGTTGCTCAGCCGTGTTTCTGTGGTCCCATTTTCCCTGCTGCAGAGGCTTCTGAACAGCCTCTGCTCCAACAGGAGCTACCGACCAATGCAATATAACCTAGAATGCTGCTTAACAACAGTCTGTGTAAATACATCTTTGTCTTGACAAGATTGACTTGCTAACAGCTAGTCTGAGTGCGGACAGTCTCAAAGCGTCTGGTGAACGTAGAGATCAGTGGTTATTTGTTAACAAACGCTAGCTTTAGCACATTTAAAACAAATGGAGCCCTACGGTGTTTCTCAATGTCAAGGCGCCTGGCCTCACAAGGCGATGTTCTGCGAGGCCAGGCGCCTTGCTTACAAGGACGCTGTCCTTCCTCGGTCAAACAAAACAGTTAAATGGAACAGACTTGCATCACGTGACCGCGTAACGTAGCGTGACATGGAAGATAACATTATATTTTATACATGTTAGTTTCAATATTAAAATATATCGAGCCTTTTACTTTTTAACTTGTTTATATATTTATATATTTGTTGTAATAAATACATACGTGAGTTACTACCTGCTAGCCACCGAAGCAGCAACTAACCATAGATAACTTTTTTGGATCTAAGAAAAAAAAACATTTTAAATTAGTTGACTTACTTTTAAACTTGAAATTTGCCTCTGAAGTAGCTGCCGGCTAGCCTCGGTAGAACATGAACATTGGAACACATCTTGGCGGCTCCCGATGATGTTTATCCTAGTCAACCAGTGCGGGGCCAAGACATCAAGGCGAGGTTCCTTGGCATTGAGAAACACCCCAAGTCTCCTCCGTTTCCAGTCGGCTCATGGGTCCCCGGAAGGATGAAAACATGAATGCAAGTCAACGGGGATAAAAACGCTAATTTCTAATCTGCTTAGCCTTATGCCCTGGATCACGCATATGCTGTTCTGCAGTTTAAATGAAAAGTAATGATGTTTGTTACGATCACGCCATTCAGGCACTTTGAGATTTATCAGCTTGTAAAGGTTCGTAACTAGCATGACTACAAATCGGACATCGGCACGTCGCATATGTGACGTTACCACAGTAGCGTAGCTGCTACTTACGACATGATCAGATTTATGGTGGTTCTTTCCTCCTGAAGGAAAGATTTGAAGTTCTCTGAACTGACAGCCATTTTCCTTCAGTTTTCTCCGTCTCTGGTTCGACGATGTCACTTTTGTGAAGCGCATTTGTAGTCCTGGAATTATTTTCACACAAAACCTAAAACAACGTTTTCCACTGTTTGAAAAAAAGCGAGTTCTTGGTATCAGAATGCATCTTTAAAATTCACGGACATCATGTGTGAAATCCATGGCACAAAACAAGCGGGATTAGAAAATAGCGTTTTTAGCCCCGTTGACTTGTATTCATTCTTTCGTTCTTCTGGGGACCCATGATCCAGAAGTAGATGGGTGTGGCTTGGGCTCAATATTAATGTGCTTTGGCCCACTCATACTAGCCTTTAGCTCATCAATCTATTAATTATTTCTTCAAACGGAGGCCCTTAAAAGGCCTTTCTCAACACATTACTGTTAAAATCTTTACCTAACTCACATCATGTCTAACGTTTCAGGTTGGTTCACCCCTCAGCATCAAACTGTCATGTACATCTTTTCCTGTCTGAAAATCACCAAGGATGGTCTTTATTTTCCTGGTGGAATAACCAGGAAAAGGAAATGTACAGAAGTGTGAAGGTTTGTGAAATAATATATTCATGAGTCACTTTAAAAAAGTTTTTACACCTTTACAAAAATCACTTTGAATCTGGATTTTCAGTTTTCCAGTGGCTTCATTTAGCGATGTGATCATTACAGATCAACATCAGTCATATTTTAATGCTTTTGCAGTGGTTTCTGATAGGAATGAATGCCCCGTGAGTTGCTCTGTGGGGAAAAAGCTCAGATGTTTCTGTTTGAGAACATAGAAGTCAGCTGGAGAAAGTGGCAGAAATCAGGGTTTAGAGTCTTGTTTCCTGATATTCAGACATCTCTCCTCTAATTGGCTAACAACAACGTGACTCCACCACTGACTTTGTTTGCTCTACAACGTTGATGTTTTATCTCCACAAATAACACTGGAGGGGTTCTACTGTGTGGTGGAGCTAATGCTAACAGGTAGCTTCTACTAGCCCAGACGTTCTCTGCTGTTTCCTGGACGCTAAGCCACCAACAGCCTTCCCCGTCGTGAGTCCAGATGGGTGAGTCCATGAATGTTAGTGACAGTGTGACGTAGATCTGTCAAGCTTGTCTAATCCTCGAGTTTCACCGTCTGTTTTCCATCAGAAGCTTAAGCAGGAGATAGGTGTAGGAGACTATTTTCATGTTCAGCCTGCATGAAACACTCAAGAGTGAGTGATCATTTTCACAAATAAAACTGGTTTCTCTGTTAACCTGGCCTTTAAGCCTACACGTCATAGTGCTGGTTTCAGTTAGGGGTTCAAACACTGAAGATGCAAACTCTTTCAAACACCAGCAAACCTCAAGCCCTTGTTAGAATTAGAAGCACCTGCAAGATCCGTTAGAGGAAATAATAATCGCACGGTCCTGGAAGCGTGTGGAGTCTGGGAAAAGCTATTTCATTCAACTGAGGCCATTCCAGCAGGTTGGTGTAATCCAGTATTTTTACATAGAAGGCCTCCCAGTGTGGTGTAACTACACATGAACCGGGAGCACTTTGTGTGCTGACTTGTACATTTGTCCAGGTAACGGTTAAAGGTGAGCGCTTGTAAGTCTCGAAATCTCATCCGAGTCAGTTTAACGTCTTTTAGGTGACGCGCGTTCACGAGCCTTCCTGGCCGCCCTGTTATGCCGTGGAGCTCGCTCCCGCGCCGCGCCAGCCACGCAGAGGGGAGACGGTTCGGTTCGGAACACCTCTGGCTCTCCCGGAGTTCGGCTTCGGTTCTCCGCTCCACGACGACGGTTGTAAAAATCCGGGATCTGGAATTGTTCGAGAAGCCGAGAGGAGCCGCGCGGAGAAGCTCCGAAAAGTTGTTCAGAGCTTCCTTCCGTTCCTCTGAGGAGAGAGTCTCCGCCACAAGTCACGGTGGGTTCTGCTGGTTCTGGTCTGGTCTGCGCAGCGGCGGAGTGTGTCTGATAGATCATAGAGGTGTGTGTGTCACACACATGATGAGAGTGTTGGTTCTGCGGTGTGTGAGGACAGTGGAACTTCAGCAGCTCCATCTGCTGCTCTAGAACACGGTCTAAAGACCCAGGAACGGTTCAGATGAGAAGTTTAGCCAGAGCAGCTGATCAGAGAGGAGCCTGTGTGGGACGGGGCCCCCGGGGGGGCCCGAGCACCGCAGAGGGGTTCAGGCCTGACCAGGGGCTCTCCTAGGGAGGGGCACACCAGGCAGAAGGTCCTGCATGGTGGTAGAGCTCAGCAGCAGCTGTGACAACAACAGTTATTCCTAAGTGGACAAGAACAACACAACAGCAGTCGTAAATAAAAGCGGCGTGTTGTCCCGGGTCAGCGCGCACCAGAAGAACTTGTGTTGCCAGTTTGTGGAAGATGATTTCGCTCCAGCTGTGTCTGTCTTTTCGCGGTGGAACCCATCTGCATGGTTCTATCTTTGCTGTTCTAAATGTTCTGCAGTGTAACTGCTCACCCTTTCACTTTAACGTGTTCTTTAATGACATTTTCTGTCACACCGCTTTAATGTTCTTGTTATTGTTGCTGCTGGAAAGCACATGGAATTACCTCTGTGTACAGCTGCCTCGCCTAAACCATTAAGGCTCGAACCCGAACCCTAAAAACACCTGTGTCATGGTCTGCGTCTGCCCCTTCCTTCATGTGCCTCCTGGCTTTTCTCCATCCCCTCCGGATTCCCTTTTGTGTCTCTTGGTGCCCTCATGTGTCCTTGTCCTTGTCATGTGTCAGTTAGGTGTCTTATGTTGTAGGCTTTAAAGTCAATTCCTCCCAGGTCCTGTGCCATTCCTGTGCTCAGTGTTTGTGTGTATGTGTTTGTGTGAGTCCTTCCCTCAGTTTTAGGTTTAGTTTTGGGTTTGAGGTTATCTGCCCTCCATTGGTTCTGTTTCCCCCATTTAGATAATTGGTGTCACCTGCCTTCCCTCCAGCCCTCACTCCACACACACCTGTTTCCTGTTTCCTTAATTGTTCTCCCTGTGTATTTAAGCCCTGTCTTGTCTCTGTTTGGTGTCGGTCCATTGTTTGTATGTTGTCAGCATTTGCCCGTGCTCAGTGTGAGGTTATAGTCTCCAGGTCTTCGTGCTCTTGGTTGAGCTTTTGGTCTCTAGGTTTTTGGTTCTCTAAGAGAGCTTTGGGTGTCCTGTGCTCATGGACGTAATTTTGGGGGGGGACAGGGGGGACATGTCCCCCCCACTTTTTCCAAAGTCAAGTTTTGACCCCTGCACTTTTTACCATCCAAAAACAATATTACGCTATATTAAATTGACACTGGTTGAGCTCTAGGACCAAGCAGAAAGCAACCGTTTGTGTTGAAGCCTGTTTCCCCTTAGAACATATTGTAAAGATACCCCCCCCCCCCCCCCACACACACACACACTTCTAAAGTGAAAATTACGTCCTTGCCTGTGCTCCAGGACTTTTTGGATTTTGGCACGCTGCCTTAGATTTATTTCTGTTTCCTTTATCCTGCAAATAAAAGGATTTTTACTTTGAACCAACTTCTGCCTTGTTTCATCCTGGGTACTGCATTTTGGGTCCTACCAACACTGAATCGTGACAACCTGAATGCTGCTAAAGCTTCAGGTCAAGTCACGGTGTTCAGTGTAAATGAGTACACCCTCTTTAAAAGTACAACTGTAATCTATATCTCAATGAACATGTTCCGTAGAACTATATGGAATCATGGCTGATATAAGTTTGACCACAAAATCTGCGGTTTTACCTGAGTTAGCTGAAGCAACAGTGCCACAACGTAAAGTACTACCTCCAGTATTTTGTAGGGAAGTCCCGTTCCACTATCGATATCGGAAATAACGTCCCACAAGTACTGTATCAGATTATATCGGACTGCATCAAAAGTGTATTTCCTGTTAAAGTCTAAAAAGACAGTTTGGCTCAGTGCTACACTTGTCATGCACAGGTCTCCCGTGGTGGAACAGAACCGCTGCGTGTCATTGTCATGTTTAAGGTTCACATGTCTGCAACCAATGGTTAATAACATGGTTGCTTTTTTCATAGCTGCTGTTGCTGGATCTCTGTTTGAGTGATGTCACTCGATCAAACCTTTTGTACGTTCCACACAACAAAACAGGTAGAAGTATGGATGATTTGTGCCGATACCTTATCAGATTGATCTTGGTATCGGTCAGTATTGAAGGCTGCAATATCGGTACGGTATTGGAAGTGAAAAGGTTTATCGGGACGTCCCAGTATTTTGTACGACTGCCGTGATTCCTAAGGACAGAACCAGTGACGTGTGGTGAGGTCCATGACTGGGGAGGCACTGACTGCTCTGGAGTAGGACTTAAAATATATGATCCTGAAATAGAAGCTTGTATTGGATTTTTGACCTTGAATGAAATATTTTGTTGTTTTAAAACTTCTTGGTTAGGATTTGAATGATAAGGAAACTTAAAGCAACGTCTGAAAATGTTTTGGCTGAAGTGAAACACTTATCTGAGGCCAAACCTGATCACAACTCAGTGCATCCACCACACACAATTTTACACTCGACCCACTGAGAACTAAATAGTTAATATCAATTATTTACAGTCAAATTAATGAATCTTATAGAACAGAATTCAACTTTATTGGCATTGCACATGTACAGGTACAGGGCAACGAAATGCAGTTTGCATCCATCCAGAAGTGCTTTAGCCGTGATATAGATGTATTACAATATATATTAGCAATAATATAGATGTGTAAGTATGTTACAGAAATGGATCTATTACGCATGTTATAATGTACACAGTATGAAGTATGTTATGAATATTCTATGACTATAAGTATGTACAGGCTGTAGTTAATACAAGCAGTCCATGAGTTTAACGTGGGTCAAATGTCAGGAGGCAGAGTTCAGGAGTCTGACAGCTGTTGGTAAGAAATTGTTCTGGTACCTGGTGGTCTTAGTCCGGAGGCTCCTGTAGCGCCTCCCAGAGGGCAGCAGGGTGATCAGTGCATGTGATGGGTGACTGTGGTCTTTGATGATTTTCCCTGCCCTTTTCAGACACCGCTTCCTGTAGATGTCCTTTATGGCAGGAAGTGGTGCTCCGGCGATGCGCTGGGCAGTTTTCCCGACCCTCTGCAACGCCTTCCGGTCCGAGGCGGAGCAGTTCCCATACCAGACTGTTATACAGTTGGTCAGGATGCTCTCGATGGTGCAGCGATAGAAGTTCACCAGGATGTCTGAGGATATTATACCATTTGGTGGATTTATGAGTGTCACTGTAGTAGCCAAACAAATCCACCCCACCCATGTTCTTGTTGTAATCAACAACAGCATCAGGAACCAGAATGTTTTTGGTCTGCCACACACCAGCTGTTTTCACCCCGTGCTTGACAGACTGTCCACTGAAGGCTGCATGCACTGTGGAGCACATGGTGACCTCCCGTGTGTCCATCCACTTCACAAAGCATGCCGTCTTTCCTCAGCCACCGCAGATCTCCCCCATCAGCCTTTTTGGGTAGGTCGTTTTCTTGTGTTTTAGGAAAACCAATAAGATTTTTTCGTTTCCTAACCATTTTATCGACACAGACTGGAAAATGAATACAGGGTTTTTCCTGCATTCAAATTAGCGTGGCGGCCGCCTCCAGCTATTTTTGTGCCGCCCCAGCCAGATTTCACTCTGGCCCCAGCTATATGGACGTTATTTTAACTGCAGTGGCAGCGTTGCACCACTAGAGGGACGCTGTATCAGCAGCGGTACAATGAAAAACGCTAAAACCGCTGCAGACAAAGAAGATCAAAAACAGCTTTTCTCGCTAGTTGGTACATATCTATGGTTGGTGCTACTGACGTCCTGATTTTCCCCCAGGCTCTTCCATATAAGCCCTTTATTACACTGGCCCAGCTGTTGTCAGAGGAGACTAACACATCCCTGATAGCGGCCTTCCCAATAATTGAGAATTTAAAAACATGTCATCTTGTTGTCACAGGTAACGATAGTCCAACAAAGGAGAAGATGAAACTTGTGCAGGAAATAGATAATCGATGGAAACCAGGGTTTTTCCTGGCTCAAACTGAGGCAGAGGTGGTACCACGCTGACCATGCGCCAGAACATGCGTGCTCTGTGCATTTAACTGCCTCACTTTTTTAAAGGCTAAATATTTTTTCGTTAAGTGTTCTAATCTAAGCTTCTGTTGATTAATATAATATTCCATTTGACAACGTTTCAAGTGAAACAAAACTGGTTTGCTGCTAAAAATATGAAATAAAACAACAAAATTATCAGGCTGAAATAACAGACTCTTATTATGAAAGGCTCAATAATATGCATCAGATTGGTGTTTAGTTCCCTTTCACCACCTGATATTTATAGTTAAAATAATTTTATATATTTGACCTGCATTTCAGTAACATTTTAGGTTTGTATTAATAACACTCATCTTAGTCAAAATAACACATAAATATATCCAGTAAAATATAATGCATGTCATTAACATGCATTTGTATTGGAAATGGTAATAACATGTAATTTCTGCTGCTAACAATGTAATGGTGGCATGTCTATTATGTACGGGTTGGCCATAATCCAGTTTAAATGACGTTCAAAGATAGAAGCGTTTGTGAATTATGTACTACAACGGCTTGCTGTACTTCCTGCTCCTGTGTGTGGAGCAGTAATGTGACTGGTATCTGCAGCGGTTCTGATCCGTAGCACTGCAGGATGCAGAACAAACAGGATGGTGGGGACTTTTCATCTACTTGTAGATTTTAGTCTTTCTTAGATTTACCATCGTCATACATTTTTCTGTGCGCCACTTGATCGTGAGACTGTTACCCTTTAGCTTTAGCATTAGCCAATCTGCGTGTAGCTGCACTTTTGATCCCAAACTTTGGACCGGTTCTGCCTTTGTGCCTTTGCTGGTTCCATTATTTTCCTCCACTGCATCC